TCTCTCTCTCTCTCTCTCTCTCATTTTTGCCAGTCTCTTGGGTTGTTTTTGGTTTAAATAAGTCTCCATTTCTCCCTCCTAGCCCCTGCTAACTACTAATCTACTTTCTTTTTAGTCTCTTTGTTTTAATTACCATGTATGAACTGATGACTTTCAAATTTGCATCTTCAGCCTAGATCCCTTTCTAGTGCTTCAGACTCTCATTTTCAACTTCTACTTTGATGTCCACTTAGATGTTTAATAGGCATCTCAGACTTAACATGTCTACAACAGAACTCTTATTATCTCCTGTAAATTTGTTCCTCTCCCATATCCACAAATGGCTCCCCATTCAGCCGGCTTCTTAAGTCAAAACCTAAAATTATCCTTGATTTCTCTTTCATTTCTCATATCTAGTCCATTGACAATTCCTATTCATTTTGCTTCCAAAATATATCTAGAATCTGTTCACTTCTTTGCAAGTCAGCTGCCACCACCTTCATCCAAGTTCCCATTCTTCTCACCTTCACTTCTTAACTAAATGTCCTGCTTCCATTATTGTCCCCTCCATCCATTCTCCAGAGAGGAGCCAAAGTGATCTTTTAAAAAGTTAGCAGATAAAGTCACCTCATGCTTAAATCCTCCACTAGTCTTCTATTTCTTTTGGAATACAATCTGAACAATGCACTCTGGCTAAATGCCCTATGACGTGACAGATTCTTCAGCCTCATTACTTCGTGTGATTTTGGACTTATTTTGTTCTTGGAGCCTGCTAAGCTTTTCCCCCTGCCTCAGACCTTTATGTTTACTCTTCTCTCTCTGTCTAGAATGCTCTTTTTCTTGCTTGTTTTATGACTGGCTCCTTTTCATCTTTCGGATACCAGATAAAATCTTACTTCCACAAACCTTTTCTTAACCACTGTACTTATCTGCACTAGCTCTCCCAACCCACATTTCCTACCAGTTATTCTGTGATTTATCCTTCATAGAAAAATATGAAAATTTTTATTTGTGTATTGTCTGTTTCCTCCCATGAGAATGTAAAGTTTTCAAGGATGGAGACTTATGGTCTTGTTCATGGCTGTATGCTTAGCACCTCACACATAGTGAGCACTCAGAAAATGGTTATTGAATGAAGACATTTCTTATACAGTCTCCGGTTAGATATCTAGATGGTTTTCAGCTTTGTTATTAATGCTACAGTGAACATCTATATAGACTAATCCTTGTACATATTTCCTTAGATTAACTTTTAAGTTGAATTTTTAATTAAATGGCATGTATATTTGTAAAGCTTTTTATCAAACGCTTTTGACTACTGTCATTTTCTTTACCCTCGTATTCCACATGCAGATATCTTAATTACACCGATCTCAATTACATCTTTTTCAAGTTAAAGTATTAAAAATATTGAAGGAAAATATGAATAACAAATACGTTTTAAAATACTGATTTCCACTAATAGAGTAAAAGTGATACTCTAGGTATCTTAGCAGGGAAAACTAGATTGTTACACCCTTTCTCATGGCTGTTTATTTGAATTCTTTTATAGGTTCTAGCATCAATTCTTCCAATCAAATAGTGTATTAGATTTCTTTTCTATTAACAAGGGAAAAAAGTTGTGCATCAGTCACACTAACATTTGCAATAATCCTTTTTCAGGTTGACATTGTATTATATTGGAGTAGGACTGACTGCCTTGGTTTTTGGCTACATGCAGATTTCTTTTTGGGTTATAACTGCAGCACGACAGACCAAGAGAATTCGAAAACAGTTTTTTCATTCAGTTTTGGCACAGGACATCAGCTGGTTTGATGGCTGTGACATTGGTGAACTCAACACTCGCATGACTGAGTAAGAGAATAGATGTGTAGTACGTCAATTTTGTTTTCATATGTGACATACACATGACTTACTAATTTTATTTGCTTCTTTCAGGGACCTCAACAAAATCAATGATGGTATTGGAGACAAGTTTGCCCTGCTGTTTCAAAACATGTCTACTTTTTCTATTGGCCTAATGGTTGGTTTGGTGAAGGGCTGGAAACTCGCCCTGGTGACTCTGTCCACGGCTCCACTTATCATGGCTTCAGCCGCAGTGTGTTCTAGGGTAGGCAAAAGCTAATGCAGTGTTGACTTGAAGTAGGAGAGTGAACTGGATGTCTTGCTGAGTTTATGAAATAAGAATTTTTATTCATTTTTCATGTCCCAGAATACGAAGAGATATGATACACCACAAAATGCTTTTGATTTTGTTCATCATTAATCACCTTTCTAGCTTCAGGTTATTCGGTGAAAATACGGTTTGTTTTAATATCTTACTAACATTTTAAAAAAAGAAAGAAATTCCTCTTCATTTAGCAGCCTAATGAAGCTTCAAATAATAGCCTGGTTAAAGTATTATGCCACTGTACGTTGGATGTTTACTGGTTGCTACTGAGAGAGCCTCTTGTGTTCCAAATTTCCAGATAGATAGTATAGATGAATAATTCCTGAACAATAGGATTGGGTATTTAGACAACAAGTCTAATGTTGACCTTATAACCCTTGTCAAAATCTCCACCCTTGGCTTATTTGAAATGAGGGCCCCTCAGTAGGAAGATTACCCATAGTTAGTATGTTACTAAGATCAGAGCCTTAACTGCCCAGGGAAGAGAGGTAGGCAAGGAGTTTATCAGGAACAAGAGTGGAGCATCTAAATTCTGCTATTGTAAAAATGGATCGTGAAGAGAAAGCAAGGAAAAGTCAAAGTTATTCAGACAACTAGAGATGCCAGGTAGATGGTTTCTAGCTTCTTTCAATTCAGTTTAATTTGGCAAACGTTTATTAAATACACATTGTGTGCAAGGCCTTGTGCTAGGTGCTGCTTGCCTTCCAGTTACATATTATGGGAATAATTATCTCTATTAAATGCATTCAGAAAACAATGAGTATTACTCAGCTCATGCTACCTGCTGACTTCAACAGCCATCTGAGTATGTCTTACATAGAATCAGCTCCTATTAATGGAATGTTTTTTTAAAGTGGATAGATTTGCTATATGATGTAGGCAATAGTTACAGGCTCGACTTGCAGCTATGAAGGCAATGTCCCTGCTGTACCATTTCACTGGACTCTTTTGCTAATTACTAAACTTTAAAGGATTAGTGAAGTGTAACATAAAAAACCCAAACCAAACGCATTGCCGTCAACTTGAATTCTGACTCATAGCAACACTATAGGACAGAGTAGAACTGCCTCATAGGGTTTCCAAGGCTGTAAATCTTTATGAAAGCAGACTGCCACGTCGTTCTCCCATGGAGCAGCTGGTGGATTCGAACTGCCAACCTTTTGATGAGCTGCAGAGCTCTTTAACCTCTGTGCCACTAGGGCTCCTTAGTGTGACATATAGTAGAGGAAATAAATAAAACTCATATATATTTTCCTTCTATAGATAGAGCTTCTCTGTCTTGTTCTCTTTATTTTTTTTTTTTTAAAGAAAAGCTCTTTTAGAAGATGGGTATCTTTATTGGTTACAGTGTCAAAGACTTGATTTGGACAAGGATATTATGGACACAGTTCATTTTAGGTGCATGCTGGAAATTAGTGAGCCTAATTTAACTTGACTTGTTATTATGTAAAAAGCCAGGCATCCATAGGGTATGGCTCACGGGGACTGTGGCAGGGAGGGGAATGTGATCCTGCATATATGGGTGTAGGGTGGGGAATGTTTACCCCTGAAGCTATTTTTGCAGAATGCGGTCAGCCTAGTAAATGCTTCCTCTTCCAACACCAAGAGGCCAGATTTCTCAGACAGAGGGGAGAATATTGCTCTCCTTGATTATAGGTTGTTGTCAGGTTTACCTGCTCTCTCAAGATTGGAAATTGGAAAGCCTGGCTTTTCATATAGTAGCAAATCAATCCACTCCTTGCCGTCCAGTCAATTCCGACTCATAGTGACCGCATAGGGTTTCCAAGGCTGTAAATCTGTACAGAAGCGGACTGCCCCATCTTTCTCCCGCAGAGCTGCTGGTGGTTTTGAACCGCTGACCTTTCAGTTAGCAGTCGATCACTTTAACCACTGAGCCACCAGGGCTCCTTAGTAACAAATTAAGTCAGGTCAAATCAGGCTCACTAATTTCCAGTGGGCACCTGAAATGAACTATGTCCTTAACATCCTTCTCCAAATCAAATCTTTTGCACTGTAACCGATAAAGATACCCATCTTTTCAAGGAGCTTTTATTTAAAAAATAAAATAAAGAGAGAAAAACAGAGAAACTCTACCTGTAGAAGGAAAAATATAATTTTTAAAAATATGTATAAATGTATTTAGATTCTAGGGTGGGTTAGGCTAAGCTCTTTCATTGCCTATGAGACTTTAAACAAGTCAGTTAACATTTTGGCCATTGGTTTCCTCATCTGCAAACTGACGAAGTTGGGACTAAGTAATATCTAAGTACCTTTCCAATAATAAAACTGTTACCCTAGATTCTATCAGAATTAAATACTCTGTGCATTGGTACTACCCCAGAGTCATTCTTTGGTTTACTGTGGTTTTGGTTTATTACAGATGGTCATCTCGTTGACCAGCAAGGAATTAAGTGCCTATTCCAAAGCTGGTGCTGTAGCAGAAGAAGTTTTGTCATCAATCCGAACAGTCATAGCCTTTGGAGGCCAAGAGAAAGAAATTCAAAGGTCTGTCCACTAACTATGACAACATATGCTCCGCTTTATTTTCCCCTAGGGCTATTACACTGTAAATTGTGTTTTGTCTTTTAAGGTATACACAGAATTTAAAAGATGCAAAAGATGTTGGTATAAAAAAGGCGATAGCTTCGAAACTGTCTCTTGGTGCTGTGTACTTCTTTATGAACGGAACCTATGGGCTTGCTTTTTGGTATGGAACGTCCTTGATTCTTAGTGGAGAACCTGGTTATACCATTGGGACAGTTCTTGCTGTAAGTCTTGTTTGAGGACAAAAGTAACTGGCCTAGATCATCTTTTCTTACTAGTTGTTGTTGTTGTTAGTTGCCATCGAGTCAATTCTGACTCATGGTGACCCCATGTATGCAGGATAGAACTGTGCTCCATAGGGTTTTCAAGGCTGTCACCTTTCAGAAGCAGATCACCAGACCTGTCTTCCTAGGCACTTCTGGGTGGGTTTGAACTACCAACATTTTGGCAAGTAATGGAGCACTTAGGGTTCAGTAAAAATTCCTCTTTGAATGAAAATGAATATTCAAAGAGGAATGTTTTTAATAAATAACTTTCTTTCAAGTGACGTGTATATACCTTTAAATTATAGTTATTAATTGACAGGATTTATTTATCCATAATGTTTTAGCGACTTATTTGTGAGGGCATTTGTGCTGTTAGAAGAATCATAATTGAATTCTCCACTGGACATATGTAGAGTTTTCGTATTACAACAATTAAAAAGGCAGTCTCTAGTAAGACCTTTTCCTCTCCTCTTGGCTGAGATAGGATGGCCCTCTACATTTCTACATTCACCTTGCTGAACGTCATCCATCTGAAAAGGTTCAGTAGATTGCATTCTCCTGCCCTTCCTCTGTCCTTTCAACATACAGTCATGTTAAGAACAGACGACATACAGATGTCTCTCCTATATCCCAATTTAGTCTTTTAAACTCCTACCAACAACCAAACTCATTGCCCTCGAGTCGAATTCCGACTCATAGAGACCCTATAGGACAGAGCAGAACTGCCCCATGGAATTTCCAAGGCTGTAAATCTTTACAGAAACAGACTGCCACACCTTTCTTCCTCAGAGCGACTGGTGGGTTCAAACCACTGACCTTTCGGTTAGCAGAAGAGTGCTTAACCATTGCACCACCAGAGCTCTTCCTTAAACTCCTAGGTGTTGTGCATTAAAATACACCCATCAGGGTTGTGCATGACCAGTATTCCTCAGTCAGCAGATTTTCCTGCTCAGACTTCCTAGAAGGTAATAACCATAAAGCTATATCAACCAAAAGTCGTTCCACATTAGGAAACAGCCGAAGATATTTGGATTAACACGTGTCTCCTTTATGTGCAGTAGTGTTTTCCATTCTTTCCCACCTAGACTCTCCAGTATCTCTCCATGATCCTCCACCAAGTATATACTCCATTCTGTGGTCTCTCTTATTCTAAGTGTGGAAAGGTAAATTGTTGTTGTTGTTGCTCCTGTAGGTCTTCTTTAGTGTAATCCACAGTAGCTATTGCATTGGAGCAGCAGCCCCTCACCTTGAAAGCTTCGCTGTGGCCCGAGGAGCTGCCTTTAATATTTTCCAGGTTATTGATCAGGTAAGACCTCTAATTGCTGTGGAGAATAACTACCATCACTGAGAAAAGGAACCAAAAAACAGGCACACACACCACCCCCCACTCAGGCAATAAAAAAAGAAACACTGCTGTAGAGTAGATTCTGACTTATAGCAACTCTATAGGACAGAGTAGAACTGTCCCATAGGGTTTCCAAGGCTGTAACCTTTACAGAAGCAGACTGCCACATGTTTCGCCTGCGGAGAGGCTGGCGGGTTCAAACCACTGACCTTTCAGTTAGCAGCCAAGCGCTTAACCACTGCACCACCAGGGTTCCTGGTGGGCAAAATCCATGGGCAAAAAACTGTAAGATGGGCAAAATCCATGCTGTCCAATTGACTATAGAAAAGAGACTGCTTTTTACTCTTTTCTGCACAAGGATTGTGTTTCATTGCAACCTTCAGGTCTAACTTCTGACACAGAAAAGAAAAACGCTGTAAAAGAAAACCACCTTTAAATTATTTTAAGGATCTAGAGAGTGTCACCTTAGTTCTTTGCAGATTTATAATGTTCTGTTTGTTTTTCCAAGAAACCCACTATAGATAACTTTTCAACAACTGGATGTAAACCCGAATATATAGAAGGAACTGTGGAATTTAAAAATGTTTCTTTCAGTTATCCATCAAGACCATCTATCAAGGTAGGATACATTAAAGAATTGTACAGTTTTCTGATATTATCATCTACTGTCTAAGATTCTTCTCTTATGAAATTGTTTAGGATCATTTTGACCAAAATTCTGGTTACTGCTTCCTCAAAATGCTAGAAATGGAAATACCATATGATCCAGCAATCCCACTCCTAGGTATATACCCTAAAGAAATAACAGCCATAACATGAATAGACATATGCACACCATGTTCACTGCAGCATTATTCATAACAGCAAAAAGGTGGAACCAACCTAAGTGCCCATCAACAGATGAATGGATTAACAAACTGTAGTACATACACACAATGGAATACCATGCAACGATAGAGAGTACTGATGAATCCACAAAACATCTCACAACATGGATGAATCTGGAGGGCATTATGCTGAGTGAAATAAGTCAATCACAAAAAGACAGATACTGTATGAGACCATTTTTATAAAGTAACAACAAAAGGTTTACACACAGGAAAAAAAAAAAGACTTTTGATGTTTACTAAGGATGGGAGGGGGAAGGAGGGAAAATTACCAAAGAGATAGTAGACATGAGTTACTATTGGTGAATGGAAAGGAAATACACAATATGGGAGAAGTCAGCACAACATGACCAGGGCTAGAGAGGACACTGAAAGAAATTCAGGAATAAAGGACCGCTATGGTAACTACCGGGCCCTGGTGGCGCAGTGGTTAAGAGTTATGGCTGCTAACTAAAAGGTCAGCAGTTCAAATTTACCAGCCACTCCTTGGAAACCCTAAGGGTCCCTATGAGTCAGAATCAACTTGACAGCAACAGGTTAGGATTTTTGGTTTATGGTAAGTTAGGTGCCCTGGTGGCACAGTGTTTAAGCATTCAGCTGCTAACCAAAAGGTGGGCAGTTCAAGTTCACCAGCAGCTCTTTGGAAACTCTATAGGACAGTTCTACTCTTCCCTATAGGGTAGCTATGAGTTGGAATCGACTTGACAGCAATGGGTTTGGAC